AGGTTAGTGAAATCTCAGTCATCATTTTCTGTGCTTCCCAGACACTGATGGTTAATCTCCCCAGTTACAAACAGATTTAGGGCAGTATCATCAAAATAAATTTAAAGAGAAGTTGCTTGTCTTGTGAGTTGAGTTGTTTTGGTCTGGGGTTAACTGACAATTAGGATAGTATTCTGAGTTTCTCTCAGATTCTAGCCTTGGATCTTATTAGCCAAGTAAGGAATACTTAAAATAGGTCTCTTCACTTTCACCCCTGTGTGTGCACAAAGAGCTGGGGGGGGTTGTTGTTTTTTTTTGTTGTGGTGTTTGTTGTTTTTTTTTCCCCCCACAGCATCTGTGTGTGTGCGCTGCTGAATGAAAAGATTTGAACCTCTAGGGTGGAGTTAGTACTTTTAGCCTACAGGGCTCTGATTGTTGGAAATCTTGTTCAGATACTGCACTCTGTCTGTCTACAGCATTGTGCTGCCTTCTGGCTGTCAGCCAGGCTGACTCATTGGTTGTCACCTTAGTCAGAACAGATGAATTTTAACTTTTTTTTGTCTTTTCCTTTTTTTTGTATTCTTTTTTCTTGTTCCTCCCACCCCACCCCAATCCTGCCACAGTGTGAGTGACCTCAGTGTGCCTCGGATCCTCTTTGCCGGAGGCCTGGCTGGGATCTTCAACTGGGCAGTTGCCATTCCACCAGACGTGCTGAAGTCCCGTTTCCAGACTGGTGAGTTGCATACCAGCTTGTCACGGCCATGCTCAGTGCAGTGCTCCTGGGAATGGGCTGGGCAGCGACGCAAGATGCCATCTGAGCACGGCACCCGGGAGGTAGCGTGTCTTGAGCACCGCTTGAGAGAAGTACATGAAAAACCCAAGTGTGTTCCTAGCTTTTCAGTTGCTTTCCTCGCAGATTTTTGGCAAATCAGGCTGCACTTCTCTGTTTCTGCCTCTCTGCTAACATAGTGATCCTGATTCGAGATACCTGTTTTGAAACCTAAGCGTAGAAGTCACGATAATAGAACCGCCTGTCATGGCTGGTTTATTACAGATGTCATTCTTTGACAGGTTTTATTGTTCCACTTCAGATATAGTTGTGTAAATTGTAGCCTGTGCTGTCTGAAAGCCGTAGTGACTGGGCTTGCCTTGGCGAGAGCATTTCTGTTAGACTAGCAGATCTGCTTTGAAGTATCTGTGGCCTAGGTATAGTGAGCATGGCCCCAGGCCCTGAGCTTCAGTGAAGTGACGGGTTTTTCCTTGGTTTCTCTGGGAGTTCTAGTCAACGAATATTTTTGTTAAGGGTCCTCATATTCTCTGTCTGTGGACTCAGCTCTCCACAGGATGGGCAGTAACCATTTTTCTTCAGTCGTGGATCATGATGATCTAGTGCAGGAAACTTTCCTTTTCTCTGAAAAATGGCTGCTGTGGTTGTTTGATGTCATACCAAGGGCTGAGTGGGAAACTGTGCATCTTTGTTCCACTCAGCCAATCCCCAGTGCTGCTGTGGGTTAATGGTGGTTCTGTTTAACTGGGCTGGTTTGTGGAGTACTTGTTCAGAGGGCTGGCAGAGGCGTGTCAGGAGAAGGAAGAATTTATTCTTTGAATAAAATAACTTTTTAAAAACACCTCAGCAAATCTGTGTAACATCAGCATTAAAACAGTCTGTGCTTTTCACCTGAGGTTTGTTACTATTCTTGGCTGTGGCATGTGATAGGATGATTTTCTGTTTCTTATAAACAAAACTTCATCAATTTTTATATCTGACCTTCGTGTTTGCTAATTGCAGCTCTTGGGAGAGCTGTGATCAACGGCACAAGTAACAGCTCTGACCTCCAAACCTGACAAAAGTTCTTCTCCTTTCTTCCCTGCCTCCAATGACTTAATTAGGTAAATTCTTTGTGGTGATGGTGAGCACTTGCCTTCTATTTACTGAGTCTTTAGTAAGGTGTCTTTTTTGTTTGCTTGCTTTTGACTGAAATAGGTGATTTTCCCAAGCAGATGTTGTCACAACATAGCTTCAGCAATGCTTGGGTTCTAGTGTCACCTAGATGGTACAACAATATGGATCTGTTGAAAATGCTGGGCTGTTACATATGCCACATACTTGAGTATTTGCGACTGCCACACAACTTAGCAGACGTGTTTTGTATCCCTTTCAGCTCCTCCAGGAAAATACCCAAATGGCTTTAGAGATGTGCTGAGAGAACTCATCAGAGAGGAAGGAGTTGCATCTCTGTATAAGGGCTTCACAGCTGTAATGATCAGGGCATTTCCTGCTAACGCGGTAAGTAAATCGTGATTCCAGATGGGTTCTGGGGACCTGATCGCTCACAGTGAACATTTGCAGTCTGTAGAGGAGATGACTGGCCGCTTACTGTTGTACCATTTCAGTGAGAATCTTGTCACTGTGGGTACTTTTGGCTGTTGGTGTCCAGGTTCTAAAAACATACCTTAATCTAGGGGGAACAGCAAGTAAACCTTCCTTCGAAACTTTGCATGAAAGCCCTGTGTTGACTCATTCTGATAGTATTTCTTGTCTGATTGTACATCCACCAGTAGAAGACAGAAATGGGTGGAAAACTTTGGACTGGCTTTCCCTTCAGTAAATAATGAGCCTAATGGAGTAGCAGTTCTGCCTTTGTGTAGAGGGATTTAGTAGCGTTCTTGCCTCTGGTCCAAGCCTTTTTTTTGTTCTCTTCCTCCTTCCGCATCAGCCATAACAGCTGTTTATAGTACTGCATTTCAAAAGCCTCATGTTGAATAGGTTTTTAGAGTCCTTATTTGTTCTGTATGTTCTCTTTCTTCCAGGCATGTTTTCTTGGTTTTGAAGTTGCTATGAAGTTTCTTAACTGGCTTGCACCAGGTCTATGAAGACTAGGAAGTCTTTGGAAGTTAGAGAGAATGAAGAGAGTGCAAGTCTGCCTCAAAGGAATAAATGAACAATCACTTCAAGTTTCAGAAATGATTGCTTGCCTAATACCTTTTTGCCTTCCTCACATTCTTCAGGTGGTGCTATGTGCTATTCAGAAATGTAAGCTGTAGCTCTGACACAGAGTTGGTGAGGAGTTCGAGGTGATACTCCAATCTTCTGAGCCAATGTACCGCAACAGTAATGCTGCTAACAGACAGCTGTCACTATTACACACGCTACCTTAAGTACTTCCTCATGGAAGAAGGAGACACTTCTTAAAATGTAATTCTTTGTTTACTGAAGAAACATGTAGCTGTTAATGCTGAAAAACTTCCTTAAATTAATTGTTTGGAAGTGCATACTTAACTCTCAGGGCACAAGTTAGCGGCTGCACATACTAGTATCTACAAGCAATGTCAGATAGCATTCTTGTCTCTTGTAGTTTTTTAGTTGTGGCTATTTCTATGTTGACAGTGGTTTTAATCTTGTATGTATATAATGCAGCAAATGCAGAACTAAGCAGGGGAGGCCAGAGCTATGTTTGGGAGGTATTACCGATACCGTATCGCATCTTGCACACTGATCTTTTCTGTGGAACTAGGGGGGAAGATGAATTATGCTTAACATTTGTACTCAGCTTTACTGAGGCAGTCAGTGAGGAAATGTGTTTGATTAACCTGAACTTTTCTCTGAAATCCCTTTCTGTCCCACTGAAGATATCCCAAATGCAATTTCAAAAGTACAGCATGGTTCATAGCAACCCACGATATATTTGATTGATCAAATGCTATGTTCTGGGATTCAGTCCCTGACCTGAGAAAATTTAACAGCACTTCAAGAACGCGGTTTCTCTGACACAAGGGGGATACATGAAGGGGACACTGGCTCTGCAGTCTTGGCTAACTTTTTTCTTGCTCTTGTTCCTTGGTTTTCTTTTAATTGTGTTTTCATTTAAGAAATGACTAATGCTAAGAAGCAAAAAGCAGCTTTAATTTCTTTTGGTTTTGATGCTGTGTTATTGGAACTCAATAAAGCTAGCTGCTGCTTGGCTAGAATGTCTGCTTTGGTTCATTTACTTTTTGCATGGTCATGCTTGGTTAGTTTTGCAAAAGTTTTCCAATTCTTAATTCTGAGATGTGATTGGGAAATAAGTTGTGCCATGCTGTCTTTAATTGCTAGCCCTGTGCCTTCTGGCTTTTGGATTTCTGACCTGAGCCGTGGGAAGGAGTGTTCTGCACCTCCTACCTTTGACATACAAGTCCTATTAGGTGCTGTGTTGCGGATGCAATATAAAGCCAGACACTAAATAGGAAAGTATTGAGGAAAGTATTTTATATTTTCCAGGGAGAGGCCTGGACACAGATACAGGGGAACTTAGGGAAAGCATCTGTCCTGATGTCCCACACTTGGTTTGGCGTGGTCTGCTGGCCTCTGCCGTAAGGACACAGTCGTCACCTTGGCTCTCCACAATCAGGGTCAGCCCTGAAAACTTTCCACCCAGTGCTGCTGCAGAGACCTTGAATCCCACTTTCCTTCCCAGTTCTTCCAAAGGAGCAGACGGGAATCTGCCTTCCCCAGAGTTCACCTCTTGTCTTTTACGGGCTGGGGGTGTGAAACCAACAGCTTCCTCATTTCTCACTGCTTGGGGACCTGCTGCTGCTCCTGCTTCTCAAAACCACTGCAGCTATGGATGAACGAAATACTTAAAGTATGAATGCTGAGTTAATACTAGTTCTGAGAAGTGTTGATTAAGTAACCTCTCAAATGGTTTTAAACACCATTCTAGGTTTGCTGAGTTTCAAGAGGACCAGGTCTGCTTTCATGGCTGTGTGCCTCCTGACCACCAAATGCTATCCCATGCTGCTTTGATTCCCTAGCTGCTCTGGCCACCTTTCTGACTTCTGTGCTTGGGCTGTGATGCCTAGAAGCAACTCTCAGCTTTAAGAAGTGTTATAAAGCTGAACTCTTTCCTTACGTTTTACTTCTGTGTTCCAGAAATATGGACATTTCTTGGGAGGGACAGACACGCAGAGACTCTGCACCTCCTCTCTTACAATTCCAGACACCGCTGCTTAGTGCTGCCTGTTCCAGCTGCCCTGTCGTACAACATGTGCTGTTGAGCTCTTCGTCTCACAGGGAGGTAGGAAGCACTGAAGCATGATCGTTCAAATTGGTTTGTGGTGCCGTTGCCCAGCAGATGGCTGTCTGGGGCCGCCGGCGAGATGGACAAACCTGCAGGTCCAGAGGCAAGGTCAGCGGCAAGGAAGCCAGCACTGCAGCTGCTGTGTCCACTCGTGGAGCTGCGACTTTCCGATTCGGCCTGCAAAAGCTCTACCTCTCTGTCAGGGCAGACGGGCAGCTGGAAGGCAGGAGCCTCTTCTGCACAGCTGTCCTGCTGAGGAAGGCAGTGATCCTCCGGACTTGGTGATAACCAGTGCTGAGGTGGAACGGGGGGCTGGTTAGGAGCCATGCAGCATAGCTAGCGCTCCCTCCCATCCCAGTCCTGTTAGTCTGGAGTGCTGCAGCTGTGGAAAACACGTAATTCCGGGAAATCCAACCAAGGGCTAGTAACGTCCTGGATTCAGTTGCCGGGGTTAAGAGCACAGCTTTTCCATTAGCGCACCCAGGAGCCTTCTCTGTGTGTGCTGGCCCCTTGCTTGCTGCTCCAGCACTTACCTTGGCCGTGCTGTCACCAGCTCAGGCTCGCCTGCCCGTGGCCTTAAGCGCTGTCTGCTCTGAAGGACTGAGGCATTCCCTCTAATGCTTCAGTTGTTGCTAGTAAATGCAAACTATCTCCCTTCTGCCAAACTGTCTGTTTTAATGCTTTATTTTTTTTAAAAGCATTTCGGATCCTTTTTTCCAATTTCAGTTATATTCTCCCTAGTGTGAAGTTTTTGCAGAGCTTTGTATTTTGCATGATAAAATCCTGGCTGTTTAACATGCTTGATTTTGTTTGGTGCTTTTAGATAAGTAAAATACAGAAGAAGGCAATCAGGAGTGAGGGGCTGCTTTCCAACAGCAGTGGTGGGAGAAGAGGAGCTTCAGGATGGCTGAGCAGACACATCTGCTTGCTTGTTCAAAAACTGAAACCCAGGCACCCTGAAAATGTTTAAAAAGCTGCTTGTGTCTCTCAAGACTGCTATACAAAATTTGCCAAATCCTTGCCTTCTGGTGTGTGCAGCCTCAGAAGGAGAGAGGGATTTTAACACAGGTACAATTTCCTGAACACTGGGGACCCTCTTGCTTTCAGAAGTCCAGATCTGCATTCAAACATTATTTTCTAATTACCCAGCTTCTGGTGGGAATCGAGGTAGCATATATCCAGGTTAATGGTACACAGCAGCAGCTGGTTAGCTGGGTCTCCGTACCAGCAAAGGATACTGATGGCGTTTGTCTTTATGCTGCTTGTGCTGATAATACACATTTCTTCTATATCAAAATCAGCATGGAGTTCCACAAAATTCTTGTGCTGTACATCTTCCTGGCCCATCCTGCTTTGGTGCAAGTGATTTTTCTGGTGGTGATTCAAGGTGCCTGGAAGTATTCCAGAAGTAATCCATGATACATAAATCTTCCATGCTTGCATTTCTCTGCCCATTGTGGGCGAGTGGCTTTTGTGTACACTCAGTGTTGCTATATTGACAGAAAGGTCCTTGGAATATCCCTGATAAGTCAGCCTTGATCAAATTTGACTACTTAAAGGAAGCTGTCTGTGGGCGGATTACTACAGACTCTCCGGTTAGGAAGGGACATTGCATGGTAGATCTTACAAATGGTGAGTACTGTGAAGAGGGTGCCTTTACTCATATTTCTCACAGCACAAGACTTACAGTGTGTCCAGTGAGGTTATCAAGCAATATTTAAAATATGAATACTTTTTATATATCATGTGCAACTAAGCTAGATGGGTCGTTGCTACAGAATGCAAAGCGCTTTAAAAAAAATCATGGAAGAACAGTTCATCAACAACTACTGAAAACTGATATGGCTACAAAGTCTTGCACAAGGAGTTCCTGGACTGCAAGTTGATAGGAACTGGGAGAGTGTGCTAGGGAAGTCACACCGCGTGCTTTAGCAGAAGAGTAGACAGACTTCCGATCTGATCTTTGATAGTTTGGCTGCTGTTCTTCTTATGATATGATGGGCAAAACCCTGAGCAGTTCTGTGGGATCTGCGCACAGGAGGATGGGCTGGCCATGTACCTTCTCAGTAACCACATAGACAAGGACACCGCACCAGTTATGGATTTGCATGTGCCCTGTTGGTCTCTAAAGGTTCGGTTTCCCATTTTCACATTGTTCTTAGTATCTGCTGCCTCCTAGGTAACAGGACTCCTATGTCAATAGTCTGTTTCTGCAGCTGAGGGACCAGCCTTGTGCACAGCCTGAGGAAAGCGGCTTTCACCACTAGACCGACAGAGGAGTTGAGGTTGGAAGGCATCTCTGCAAGTGGTCCGGTAGAGCCCCCCTGCTCAAAGTAGGGTCCACTAGAGCAGGTTGCCCAGGACCGTGTCCAGTCTGGTTCTTAATATCTCCAGGGATAGAAACTCCACAGCCTTGCGGGGCAACCTGCGCCGGTGTGCATCCACCTTCACGTCAAAACAAGCTCTCTCTTATGTTAAAGTAGAATTTCCTATATTTCAGTTTGTGCCCATTGCCTGTCACTGGACACCACCGAGATGCGTCTGGCTCCACCTCCTTCTAAAATCCCTCCTGTCAGGTGTCCATACACATTGGTAGATCCTCCTGGAGCCTGCTTTTGTCTAGGCTGAACAGTTACAACTCTCTCGGCCTCTACTTGTATTGCAGATGCTCCAGTCCCTTCATCATCTTTGTGGTGCTTTGCTGGACTGCTCTGGTATGTCCATGTCTCTCCTGTTCTGGCCCAGGACTGGACCCAGCACTCCAGATGTGGCCTCAGCAGGGCTGAGTGGAAAGAAGGATCACCTCCCGTGGCCTGC